GACCAGAAGATTGTCGACGAGTTCCAACAATTCTGCCAGCGACAATGGCAGAGCCACACAGCTCAAGTGCAAGAACACCCACGGCTCAACCACAAGTTTGTCAAGCACGTCATATCCATGATCCCTGACGACTTCATCATCCACAACGAAGACCATGCCAACGCCCACCTCATGATATATTGCCCCAACGTCTACAACCAGGCAGCGGTGAACACATGGATGGACAAATCCACCTTTGACATGCTCGACACCACCAGTGAGGAGGTCAAGAACAACATGAAAAGCCAGGCTGCCGCGAGGATTGACAAGCGCTACCACAAACTCCTCCGCTTCGACAAGCCTCTCCCCTACGGCTATATCATGATGAAGCGCAAGAAGAAGTGGCAAAAAGGACGAACAATCATTGCCTATGCCAACACGTGCATCGGCAACCTCCTCAAGGTCACGGCCATTGCCCTCCAACAAATGCTCAACGTGACGTGGCCCCATCATTTCGGACGAGCCAGCTCGCCAGAATTATGGCAAGAGATACACCACCTATTCCACAACAACGAGCAGTTGTACCCGGAGCGCAGCCTCCGCTTCCTCAACCACGACTTGGTCGGCTTCTTTAACTCCATACCGCAGCAAGACATCATGCGCAGCATCCATTTCTTAACCGCCGAGTTCCTCAATAACAACAACCACGTGCTCCTGGTTGATCCCCATGGCAAGATTGGTACCGTGCACTCCGGACGTTCGTCACACAGCATCAAAGTTAACATGACAAATGTCCACGCGGAGCACATCCCCAGCATCATTCAGTTCAGCTTTGATGCCTGTGCGTTCACAGCCATTGGGGAAGTCTTCCAACAAACATGCGGCACCTCCATGGGCAACCAGATCAGCCCCATATTGTCTACCTGCGCCATCGTTGCCACANNCTGCAGGACAAGTTCTGGATCCGTCGCTACGTCGACAACAGGGCGATCATCGTGGACGAGACTGAGCTCCGATCCAACGAGCACGTTCAACAATTATCATCCTTGAATTTTTATCGAAAACCTGTCCAATTGGAGGACGAGGGCAACAATAACTTTTT